ATAAATGAAATTGACTGCAAGAATTATTTAGAAACAGGCTGAGAAGGAAGGTTTTAGGAAAACAATTCCTGATGCTATGGTAACCATAGTTGGGTTCAAGTGACAGGCTGATGATGGGGGAAGGGAAGGATGCTGGGTGAGTGGTCTAGATAATCTGTTGAAAAGTGAATAGAGGGTAGAATGAAGAGGAGAATAAAGCTAAGACACTTGATTACAAAATTAAAAAAAAGATTTAGATCTTAGAAGTCTAAATTCTTTGAAAGCATCACTTTACAATTTGCCAAGTCAGTATAACAGGCTTGAATCTTCTGCCTGCTAGTCATGAACTTAACAACACATCCTTGAAAAATTAAAGTAAAAACTGTTAGAAATATGAGGAGAAGTTGCTGGTTCATAGTGGGAGATTTTTTACAGATCCTTCTTGGAAATCAGGTAAAAATGTAAGATGTAAGTGAGCTGAATGTCATAATTAAGCTTGATTTAATAGATTTGCAAGTTTGGATTCAATAAACAGAGAATACATGTCCTTTCCAAATACCTGTGTATTCAAAAAGTTGGCCATAGGCCACATGTACATACATGCATGCCAGAAAAACAAAAACAAAAGATAAACTCAAGAAATTAACAGAAGTAGAAAATTGTATAGCCTACATTTTCTGGCAGCAGGGCAGTGAAACTATAAATTAAACTGAAAAGGAAAGCCAAGGAGAAAGAAAGGAAAAAGGAAAGCCATGCAGAAATTTATTAGCACTGTCCTAAAAAGTCCTTAGTTAAAGAAGAGATCAAAACTGAATTAGAAATGAGTTACATTGAGAGTAGTACGTATCAAAAATTAGAATATAACCAAAGCAATATTTGGCTAAAGTATTAAAATCATAATTAAAGTTATTCACACTTCTGAGAAAGTAGAAGAGAAAGTGAACTAAGCATCAATTTTAAACCTAGAGAAAAGCCAGGTAAACAATCTGAAAGACAAAGAAGGAAGAGATTCAGAAACTTGAGAGAACCCATGAACACATAAACCACAAAAAAGAAAGCTTGCTCCATAAAGCCTGAAATGAATTTGTAACTCTAGATGAATTTGGTATTTCTTAATGTATATATTTCTTAATATATATAAATATGTTATATATATTTCTAACATATGTTAGTATAGATAATTCTAAAAAAGGTGGAACACCTGAATAATCTAATAACCAACAAAGAAATCTGTCCTTTCCTCCTTTAAAAATGTACTGAGTTCAGATAGGTTCATGAGTTATATGAAAACATCAAAGAATAGATAATTCCTGTGGTATATGAACTGCTTTACAGCCGAGAAAGAGGTAGAATGATAAACAGGTGATTGAAAAAGTTAGTATAACTCTGGAACTAAGACCAGATGAGGCCAGCACACACACACGAAAAGAGAGAGCTGCGGGCTAATATTACTCAAGCTTATTAATCTAAAAATCTTAAAATGTTAGGAAGTCACACCCAGCTGGATCTTTAGAAAGAGGGTTTATTCTAAGAAAACGAGGCTGGTTTAAAATCTACTAATTGATTATATTAGTAAATTAAAGGGAAAGCCAATATGAATCTTGAGAAAAGTTGAAAAAGCATTTATAATAAGATTCAATCCTCTTATGTGGTACCTTATGCCACGTGTGTTACTGAGGCAGGTCTTCAGAAGTAAATAAATCTCTCAGGGCTTGAGCTGCAAAATACATATCAGTCAGTGACAATGTTGGGACTGTTAAAAGAAACTTAAAGAGCAGAATAACTAGGAAGATCTAATATGCTGGGTTTTAATGAAAACATCTTTCTTTGAAGCTTATGTTTTTAAAATCTGATTATACATACCAAATATTTTCTAGAATAAGAATGTAATAGAATGTGATACAGAATAAGTTAATTACAGCACATTAACAAGAGTAGAAATTAAGTGCTGTTTGCAGTTAAAGTCATAACACTCTTATTAATTATGAGACCATGTGTTTGTGTTTGACAGATAAGAGATTACTCAGTGTGCTTTACACACTCCATCTCCCATACAGCCACGATTTGCTTTCTCCTCCTCAGCTCTTTGATTTGTTCTGCCCACGCTGATGGGAATCCAGGAGTGGAATTCCTCTTAATTGTGTCCTCTTCTGAAGGCAGTTGCTTGGGCTTGTCATATGAAAATTGGATATATGTATCCTCTGTATATCCTGCCGCAGCCACACTGGCCTCTTGCTCCTCTTGGGACACGCAGGAGTGCAGTAGCTGTGCCCTCTGCTGGGATGCTCTTCTCCCAAGTATCTCCATGGCCCACCCTTCCCTCCTTCAAATCTGTTCAAACATCAGCTTCCCAGTGATGCCTATTCCGACCAAATTGTGTTTTGTTTTGTTTTGTTTAATTTATCTTTGGCTGTGTTGGGTCTTCATTGCTGTGCTCAGGCTTTCTCTAGTTGCAGCGAGCAGGGGCTACTCTTCATTGCAGTGTGCGGGCTTCTCATTGCAGTGGATTCTCTTGTTGCAGAGCACAGGCTCTAGGTGCGCGGGCTTCAGTAGTTGTGGCACGCAGGCTCAGTAGTTGTGGCACACGGGCTTGGTTGCTCTGTGGCATGTGGGATCTTCCCAGACCAGGGCTCGAACCTGTGTCCCCTGCATTGGCAGGTGGATTCTTAACCACTGTGCCACCAGGGAAGTCCCCCGACCAAATTGTAACTGCCCCCCACTTCTTCCATGCACTCTAATTCCCTCTTGCTCTGTTCTATTCCCCCACCCAGCACTTATCACCCTCTGCTACTATATAGTTTGCTTATTTATAATATGTATTGTTTATTTTATATCACCCTCCAGTGCATTGTAAACTGTATAAGGGCCAGGATCTATGTTTGTTTTCCTTGTGGTGTATCCCAGGCTGCTGGAACAGCAGGCACTTAAGAAATATTTTTTAATGAATTTACTAGAACTATGAGTATGAAGGCTCTCCTGTGCTATCTTTTGATTAGACAAGAAATAGTTACACAAGGAAGATGGATGGTGAAATGAAAGATACAGCAGTCAAGGTAGAAATGACCTGAGGGACACTTGATTTTGGAAATAGACCTACTTTTGTAATATAAAGAGCTAAGTGGACTGGAAGTAAGGAAGCTTGGATTCTTGCTTTAATTTTACCACTGACCTTAGACACATCGCTTGAATTCTTGGACCTCAGGTTCTTTATCTACAAAATAGACTAAAATTTTTAGTTTAGAAGGCTGAACCAGGAGACCTCTTGCATCTAACCCTGCTTTGTGCTTCTTTGTGGACTTTACTTTAGGAAAGACAGAGCTTATGAACGTACCCCAATATGACATGGCATTATTTTCACCCAACATCTTCCGAACTCTTTCCACTCAAGGTCATGAGGCTATGATGATGTGCTTTTGGTTTATTTCAGACTTCTCTTTTCTTTTTTTCTTTTTTTTTGAGTTTAAAAAGGTATTATTCTATATTTTAAAAAATAGTGATAAAATATGCGTAATGTAAGCCATCTTCACTATATTTAAATGAAGGCATATTAATGCCACAGTTCAGTGGCATTAAGTACATTCACATTGTTTGTGCAACCATCACCACCATCCATCTCCAGAACGTTTATCTTTTTTTTTTTTCCCACACACAACACACTGTATTTTATTTTTACAAGAGATAAATAGACTGACGCCAAGCATTGTAAATGGATGACCACAACAAAAGCAACAATGATTGCAATTACCAAACATGAAACACACTCATGCTATGTCATAATATTGACATTCAGTCCAGGAATCCTGCACTGTAACAGCTCCTTTACTTTGCAGTGAAAATTGATTTGTATATTTTTTGCCTCTGAGTCCTTGTGGGATTTTTTTTTTATTCAAACAGAAAGTCACAAAAATTATAATCATCCTCATCAGTTCACTCAGTCCCGTGTAATTAATTTTTTTCATCTTGATCTTTGTTAGCGCTTTTGTGAGTTCATCAGTTTTCCGTTAGAGTTCTGAAAATGCTTCTTCATTCGGTTCAGCAGTATAGCCAGTTACCAGAGACCTGTACTTGTCAGTCTTTTCCATGAATTCCTTGAAGATGAAACCCTTTTACAGGAACATTTTTGCAAAAGCATCAGAGTCCACCCAGAACTGTCTGTAAATGACAAAAGCCTTAAACATGACCACGGTTAAAGATTTGATGAAAGTTCATGATAATGCAACTGACAAAGGCCTAATGGGGCTATAAGTTTCTTAAAAGCTTAAACCAAGAAACTGAGCTGTGGACTGGGGCTCCAGAAGCTAGGGCTTTTCTTGATTTATTTTTCTTATCTGTAAAATGGAAGTGCAGCAATAGGTTGGTGACATAATACTGTAGAAAGGAGAATGAGGTACATTTGATGGATTTCTGCTAGGGATAGAAACACACCAGATGCCATTTCGGGAAATTACATGGGAATTTGGCCTCAATATCCATCTTGCTAAAGCTTTCATATCATCTTAATCTGTTCATCTCCTCAAATTTCAGAGCTTGGAGGTCGAGTTCCTCCGTGGTGATTCTCATGCATCTTGTCTTCAGTCCCCAAAGCAGCCATTAGGTATTTGTGGGCCTGTTTTGGTGTTTAAATGTACACTGTTTTCAAAGAATGGCCCTTAAAACTCCTCTTAAACTTAAAGATCTTTCCATTGGTCAGTGACTGAGTCCTGTTTTCAGAGTCTCTACGTCACATAGGCATCTTCCCTCCGCCTTTCTTCACCTGGTCCATGTGCTGGACATGGATTGTTCAACACAAGGGAGGGGACGGGCCAATGGAGAAGGCAGCTTCCACCTCTTGCTCTGGTGTCATGAGCAGGTCACAGGAAAGATTTCCATGGGTGGCTTAGCTGTGTTTGAGGGTTCTCACCAGATTTCTGTCCCTCCTGTACTCTTTGTTAGTTAGTCTATCATCAGGGCTGCCTGCACTTATGGGGAAAGTGCCCCATGCTGCCCCTGGGCCTGTGCTAAACTCTTTCTCTCCCATTTAGAAGAGAAGCCAGATTGCTCCAAGGCCCGCTGTGAAGTCCAGTTCTCTCCGCGTTGTCCTGAAGACTCCGTTCTGATCGAGGGTTACGCGCCCCCCGGGGAGTGCTGCCCCCTCCCCAGCCGCTGCGTGTGCGACCCCGCGGGCTGCCTGCGGAAAGTCTGCCAGCCAGGATACCTGAACATACTTGTGTCCAAAGCCTCAGGGAAGCCGGGAGAGTGCTGTGACCTCTATGAGTGCAAACCAGGTATGCACGGGCTTGGTCCCAGCAGCCTCGCTGCTTTGCATCAGAGGGCAGCAGCAGCCAGCCTTCCCCCGCACCCCCGCCCCACCCTGGCCACTTGACAGTGGGACGCTGCAAACCTGCTACTCTGGGCTAACAGCAGCCTGGCTTCTGCCCTCCAGCCAGAGAACCAGATAATCCACTGGTACAGAAGTGCCTTCAGAGAGGGACCTTGCCTTTTTCTCTTCTTCTTTTTTCTTCCTTCAAAGTATGCTTGATGGGGGCCGCAGGGTTAAAACTTATGGTACTGTGGTTGCCTGCTTCATTCCCCCAGGGGAGGTCGTCGTCCTCATTTGCAGATATATCTGTCACTTTAAAGTATTACATGTAAAAACAATCATCATACATAAAACAGAAAGTTATTTTTAGATAAATATATGCATCAAAATGCCAGACATTTTATAATGAAATACTCAGCCCCAGTCTTCCTCCTTGCCAGCTCCCCACCATCCGTCTGTTAGCTTTATAGCATGTGCTAAGTCATCTTTGACTGTTTACTCAACTTCTTTGCCACATTTGTTTTGTAGTCATGTCCCAGCTGTTTCTGGATCTATGGTATTTCTAACATCTTTGTTCTTGTGGCTGCATTTCTAATGTGGTCTGTGAATAGGCCTGGACTGCAGAGATTTCCTCTTCCAAAGTTTCTAACCATGGGTCAGATTTTTTTTAACTGCTTGGTAAATGTTCAAGCCAAGCAAGCCCTTGCCCTTGTTCGTCTCTTGAACTGTTTCATCAGAAATGCCTTGGGCTGATCGTCACCATCCATAGAACCACCACTGGTTTTAACTCTCTGTCTTTCTCTGTGTCTGCATCTTAACTCTTCAGTGTCTTGTTCCCTTCTTTCCTTGAACAGAAGATTTGGGTCATATTACAGTTCTCTAACGTTGATGGAAATGAAAATGCCAGTGCTAAGTAAGACAGGGTTTCCAGAAAGCAAGGAGACTACAAAAATTTGAAGAGCCAGTGTTTCATTTGGGGACTCAAAATGCAAGGAAACGTAACGGTGAATGGTGCCTCTGTTTGCCCCCCAGTTTTCAGCGTGGACTGCAGCACTGTGGAGTGTCCCTCCGTTCAGCAGGCCGTGTGCCCCCTGGACAGCTATGAAACTCAAGTCAGACTCACAGCGGATGGTTGCTGCACCCTGCCAACAAGGTCGGTCCGTCATTCGTTTTTTACGCTTTCTCCTCTGTCCTGTGTGTTAGCATCACGAAAGGCACAGTTTCAGGCATGCCGTTCGTTTTCTCCAAGGGTCAGAGAACCCTAATATCCTCCTGTTTCTATGGAGAAATCACTGAACGGTTACTATGACTTGGTAGTTCCATGTATCGTTCCTGGGGCCAAAGTCAACTGTCCTCAGGTTAAGTCCCTAATCCTTAGAGGTTCCTCAGGTTGGGGTGCCTGTGCACTTTTGCAGGCTGCAAACTAAACAGGCACGTGTGTCCCTCAGTCTGGAGCCGGGGAGGCAGCAAGGTATCGATCCATAGTAGGCATGTTATTTTATCCTGTGCAGTGAATCTTACAGGTGTTTAACCATTGTTTCCAATGGGGTGAAACACTGCATGCATCATAGAATTGCTCCCCAGGGATCCTTGACGTTTGCAATCACACATCTACCCAGACCTATAACTTGCTGAGGCAACAAGGAGTTTAAATTCCTATAATGCTTTCTGGAGGAACAAGCACATCTCTCTTTGGCTTGGTGGGGAAAAAGCTGCTGTCAGTTTAGTCTTAGTAGCCGGACATCCCCTTAACCCTGCAGGGCCAGACTTACTCCAGAACGCAAGGGTCCCCAGGCCCCCCATCCTTGACAGTCTTCATAGCACCACTGTAGAGCTGGTACTTTGTGCTTTGCTTTGGGAAAGACCGTGCTTGGAATCATGGGGTTTACGTTCTATTTCGCCTGCTGAGTGCCCTCTCCTCTTCCCTACCAGGTCCTCCCCTCCATATTTCCCAGGTCACTAAGTCATGATTTTGACTAAGCCATCTCATTTCTTTGAACTTTTGCTTTACATTTAATATCCAGAGTTAACATGGTACTTTCCTTAACCCCATATCTAAGCTCTCTCTCCCTCAGTCCCTGTGCCAGGCACTTAGCATCTGTGTTTGTTGCATGAGTAATTGTGATTAAACAAATGGTTTGCTAAGGTAGGAATGTGTATGGTCTGTAGTTAAGGAAAGTATCAGTCATTTGTCCATGATTGAAGTAGACATCCAGAGTTTGTTCTGATAACTACTTTTTTCTTCTTCCTTCTCTTAAAAAGTGTTAATTCTTTGACATTTACTAGCCATTGTTGTGTCAGAAACCGTAGGATTCTCTCAGACATATTTTACAGGACTTGCCCTATCCTTTATAGTGCATCATAAAACAGGCGCAGAGATTTTTGTGAAGGTAACATAGAGTGGCGTAGCACTTTCTTACGACACTGCGTTGTGATAATTTATGTGAAGATGTTTGGAAAGGGTTGAAGTATTGTGCAAACACAAGGTATTGCTAATCAGTAAGGGAGGAAATGGAGTATTACTAACAGGGACAGATGTCCCTTCAAGGTCTGCATGAAAAGGAAGGTGGCACATGATATTAGACCACCTAATTAATCAAGACTAAGCCAGTTGTCAATTAACAAGACCTTTAGAGAGCAAAAGGGACACTTCTCAATTCACTGTTACAAATGTAATGTAGCACCATTTGTATGTAGGAGGCACAGTAGGGTATTTTTTGCACTCTAAGGGGTCGAAATGGATAGAAGCAACAGGAAGACATACTTAATTTCAATTCAAGGAAAAAAAATTTTCTTACAACTAATGATGTACAGTCATGCACTGGGCTGCTTCCTGAGATAAACTGAGCTCCCTGGGGCCGGAGAGACTTCTTTCCGTCTGGATGGCCACCTTCCAGGAATGCTTAGAAGAAATGTTACCTTGGAAAGGAGGTTCAAGTAGAAGCCTTCCGTTTTTATCCCCAAGCTTCCGTGAGTCTGGTAAACATAAACCTTAGGGTGATTATTACGTATTGACCTAATTTTGACTTTGGCATTCAGAACCAAAGGATATTCAGTTAAAGGGCTCTAATGAAGAAATTGGAAGCATGGAGAAGGAAGCCATCCAAAAATCCCAGGGTAAATTATTTGCAGGGAGGGATAAGTTCTCACAGCTCTTTGGTTTCCTGTATTTTAAATAGTCAGTGACCCTTCCTCCCCTGCTGCCCCTTCTCCACATGCATCCTGTGTTCCCACCTGAACTGGATTCCCTCCATCCCCCAAGCTGTCTCGGGCTCTGGGCCTTTGCATTTGCAGTGAGCTCTTCCCTGATTGCCTTCCCCTTCTACAAACTTCTCCTCTTTCAGGACTACATTTCCTTCTCTTTGAAGTGTTTTTCAGTCTTCAGCCCCTAAAGATGACTTAGGTGTCTCTCCTCTGCTCCCTTGTAATCTAATTCCCATGTATCTCTTTTTTTTTTTTTTTTTCCCCCATGTATCTCTTTATCATAGCCCTTTTCATAATACATGGAAATCATTGATTTTTTTTGGTCAGTCTCTCCTACTCTCTGTGCTTCTCAGGGAAGGGAGTATTTTATAGCCTCTGGTACATAGAACAGGACTTGATATAAAATGGTAACCTACATTTATGAATGAGTGAATGAATGAATGAATGAACAGGCCCACTATTGGCCATGATGACTTATATGTCGAGGAAGAGAAAAATTATCTTCCTGCCATTAGGTGGTAATACTACTCCTTGTCTCACTATAAAACCCTTGCAGTTTCCCCCCAACCCCCTTCTTTATGGCCAGTTCTCAGTATTGCAGAAATCCTCCACTCCAAGCACTGGGCTCACCTCTCAAAGCATGAGGTGTCTTTATCTCTCCATTCTACCTTTTCTAATAGTATTGTTCATCCTGCAGGACTCCCAGTTAAATTCTACTTTATCCACAAGATCTTTGTTCTTCAGCCAACACCCGTCTCACTCCCTAGGTACTCCCAACATATCCTGTCCATGTTGCCAATTAATCATATACTTCCTTGCATTGTTATGTAACTGTTAACATGGGTAAAGTCTTGTCTCACCAGCTAAAGGACATTTCTACAGGTCAGGAATTGTGTCTTCTTTCTTTTCCTCTGTGTATGCATTAATTATGAATGAATCAGTAATGCAGAATACACTCAGACTGTGACTTAACCTAGTGGAGCATATTAAATGGGTTCCCACTTGTTAAGGAGGATGACAGACAGGTCATACTTTGATAAGAGAATAAAAACCCAAACAATCACGTGAAAGTGGAAATAAAAAGAAGAGAGCCTAATACGTTGTAATACTGGTAGTATTTTAAGAGAAGAAAACTACCTAACTTTATCCTTGTGTGTGATCCACGTCAAAGGTTTTCTCTTTGAGACCATGATTAGGTATAAAGAAGAGCATTTTAGAATATGCAAAGCCCTGTTATGATGACTTGGCCTTTACCAGCATATTTATAAAGAGCACTGCTAAGAAATTAGAGCCATTTGAGATCAAAACTGATTGTGTGGCGAATTCAGGGGGAAAAGCCCTTTACAGTCAGGGCAGAGTAAGGTAAAATATTGGAAACTTTAGCAGTAGAGGTTTACCTTAGGTGGAAGTCACAGCCCCTTTTTTGTAGGACTTATTATACTTGCATAGACTAAAAAAGGAATTTGTGGACATTCTGCCCTCATCTTAAAGAATAAATCCCTCCCTCCTTCATTACCATCCAAATGGAATTGCCATTCCCAGTGAGACTGTGTCACCCATTAAGGCCCCTGACTGCCCTGTTTGGGTGTAAGTACTTGCTCACTTGGTGAATTTTCTTTTGAGTTGCCTGTTCTCAGTTCATTTATTCATTCAGTTATTCATTCATTCATGGAACATGAGCTGAGCTCTTCCAAGTGATAGATACTCCCCTCCAGATGTCCTTATGGTGCATGGATATCTCTTTCCACTTCCATGCCTGACAAGTACTGGTTCTCCCACCCACCTCTGCCCTTTCTAAGGATATGTTAGTCCTTCTCCCCTTGCTGAGTCTCTGCGTTTTTTTAATGGCCCATCCTTCATTGTCCCCTCTTTCGCTGTCTTTTCTCCTGAACTTCATCCTGTTTAGATATAATTCTTTGTGATATAATTATCATTTTAAAATCTTCCTTCCCTCAACTTGGTTTAGGTGTCCAAGCACTCCGCTAATTCTTTTCATCCTCTTCTCTTCTGTTGGTGCTAGAATATGTTGTGAGGTATATGGCAGCTCATCATACCTTTCAGGAGATAGTAAAAAGGAATGAGACTTAGTGGCTCTGGGCCTTAAACTGGGCCTGAACCCTGCGTGATGACAAAAAGGAAAAATGGGACTGTCCATGGGGCTCATGACACCTCATGGTCTTTGCAAGACCCTTTGTACGTGTGTGCATGCCAGTGCCTCCATGGAAAAGGAAACTTACAAAGAGAAAGTTATGTCAAATGCTTTGATCAAATGATGTCTTTGCAGGGAAGGAAAAACAGGAAAGTCTTTAAGTAACATCTAGGTGGCAGTAACAGTGACAGCTTAACTTGTACCTTGCTGTTTACAAAGCATTTTTTACTTTTGCTGCCCTCATTTTGTCATCTTTCTGACTCCATGAGAAACTTACGGATATGAAAACAGAGGTTGAGAGAATAAGTGACTTGTGCAAGATCACAAATGTTTTTTGGTACAAGGGACAGAGCAGGTCCAAGTCTTCGGCCCAGGTTCTTTGATTCAAAGCCCTATGCTCTCCAGTGCAGTTTTTTTTTTTTTTTTTTGTACAATGTTCTGTTGTTGTTTTTAAGTTCAGGAAATATATTAAAGAATATGAATTTATATCTCACCATCATGTTTGTTTATATCAGCATAGTACATATTAACACAATATACCCATGTTTCAGTTACACATTGCTGTGTAACAAGACACCCCCAAAAGTAGTTGCTTAAAACAATGAAGATTTATTATTTCTCATGCCTCAGTGTTTTAACTGGGAGGTTCTTCTGTAGGCAGCTGGTGGGTCATCTGGGGCTAGATGGTCTACGGTGGCATCATTCTCACATATCTGGCTGGAAAGGCCTGTCACCCCCTGTGTGGTCCTTCATCCTGGCTCCTCTATGTGATGGCAGAAGCAAGGGAGGAAGCAGCAAAG